AAGTTCACATGGTGCACACAAAATGCAGTAAGCAGTGCAATAAAGTGACAGCAGCAAGGGGACGTTATAATGGGCAGTAAAGTGACTTTATAAAGGACAGCAAAGTGACTTGAATTCAATTTCTTCCAAATAATTTCTATTGAATAAACAATTTGTATTCAACTTTTCTGTCTGATTATTGTTTAAATTAGATGGTCAAAGATCTTTAATTCAAGCTAAAACTGATATTAATTGATTATTATTTTATCTACCGTATCTTTCATATCCTGAAAAAATGACTCTGCTCTAGCACTTCCCCCATTGAGCAGTTTTGGAACCGGGGAAAAAGGTCAAGGCCTAAATAATGTTGTTTGACTTTGTTGACAGTTGAAACATTCATGAGTGACAAGAGCAAGCTGCCTCCAAAATATTAATCAAAAAGGATATCTGAGGCATCCTTTACCATCCATAACTTCTTCAGATAAAGCAGATCAATACAATTCAAACTTTCATAGTGAATATGCATTATAGGGCCCTCATATAAGTGTTAAGTTAGGCCAAGATCAAATCTATATCTGCAGACTCGGGTTTTAGAATTATTCCTTGCAAATGCAGGGTGTCTGCTGGACTGTTAGAGGGTCTAACTAAAAGGACAGCGGTGATGATCCAGGGCACTCAACATTCAACACACATCATAATACATTTTTCTTAAAAATAATGAAGTACTGCTGTTTATGTCTATGGTTTTCTTAAGGGTTCACCTGTGAATTTTAAAAATAAAATATGTAATTTTAAAACTGTACTGTACTTACTAAAAGTAAAAATGTGGCTACAGATTGTAACTGTAAAGTATACAGATTATATTGATAGTTATTAAATTGACAGTAATATCCATTCATCCATTTTCTTCCGCTTCATCCGTTGCCGGATCGAGGGGGCAGGCAGTCTAAGCAGAGACGCCCAGACTTCCCTATCCACACACACTTCCTCCAGCTCATCCGGGGGCACCCCAAGGCTTTCCCAGGCCAGCTGAGAGACATAGGCCCCATTTAGACAGAGGCGATGCGCAGACGTTGCCAAGCTATTAACAGAAACAACTTGGTTCCTTATGCACATTTCACAGCGCTCATGCAAGGATGAAAAACAATGTAGTTCTAGCGCCCGGCCAGTAGTGAGCAGAGGAACTTTACCACACGACACACGTGAGCCCCAGCCCTCCAACAGTATATTCACTTTCTCCATAACATCCACTGCAAGACGTGAAAAATGCACCAACATCATTCTGCATTTAACAGTGGCTGCGAAAATGTAAACTGAAACTAGAGCTTTGCGTGGTTTTGTTTGGACGAACAAAGGAGTAGAATCCACCTGTGTGTAGCGCTCGAAGCACACGTAGCTAGTTTGTGTACCCGCCGCCATTGTTGTTTGCGCTTGTTCGCGGCCAAGCCCCTCTGTGCTCGTGCATGACAGCCACACACGCGTATTTGGCGCAACGCATCATGGGAGCTTGTCAACTCTGCAGAACGATGCCCAAATATAGGCGAGTTCTACTAATCTCCCGGTCCCATGCACTACTGACAAGCCCCGGTGATTCAAGATGGCGCCCTATTCAAATGAATGGCTTGTGCTCAGTAGCGCATGGGACTTCACGGAGACCGGGAGAATAGCAGAACTTGCCTATATTTGGGCATCGTCTGGTCCTCCCGGTTCTGCGCAGTGGACGAGCTCCCATGATGCGTTGCGCCAAATACGCGTGTGTGGCTTTCATGCACGTGCACAGAGGGGCTCGGCCACGCTCTGACCAATCAGAGCTGCTTATCAGAGCAGCGGCAGAGTGGAGTCAGAGCGGGAAGGAAAGAAGCAGAGTTTGTGGCAGTAAAGTGTGGATTTAAAGAAAACCAAAGGATTTAAGAAGAAAAAAAAAGTTCATGATGACAAGGGACACTAAAATCCCCACAAAATCCAACCTTTATGAAAGCTGTAGGTTCTCTGTCAGCTGAGGTCGAGCTGTTTTAGTTTGCATTGAGTTCTATGGGACATTTTTCTGAGTAGCCCGCATGAATTTAGTCTGCAGTACCTGTGCCAATGGGTGGGACAGCTATAAGCAAGTAATACCCTATCCAGTTATTTTTATAGATCCATGGCTACTGAGCACAAGCCATTCATTTGAATAGGGCGCCATCTTGGATCACCGGGGCTTGTTTCACCCCCCTGAAACACAGTCTCCATGATGTGAATCCATGTAAACCTGCTGTCATGTTGCCTCTCCCTCAGGGACTACGGATGAAAATTATCTTGTAGCTATGTCCGGTCTGAACATTACATTTATTGTGTAATGTCCCTGTCAAATAAACAAATAAATAAACAAAATGAATAAATGGGAGGTAGCAACCGACATCCAACTTTAGCGTTTTACAGCCGCAGCGTCTCCGTCTTAATCGGGCCATAGAACCTCAAGCGTGTCCTGGGTCTTCCCTGGGGCCTCCTTCTGGCGTCCAGGAGGCATCTGGAACAGATACCCGAGCCACCTCAACTGGTTACTCTCGACACTGGAGAAGCAGCGGCTCTACTCCGAGCTACTCCCATGTGACTGAGCTCCTCACCCTATCTCTAAGGGAGCACCCAGCCACTCTGCGGAGGAAGCTCATTCCGGCCGCTTGTATCCGTGAACTCGTGATGGACAAACTGTGGCCATAGCACAGAAGTCCAACAACTGAACGCCACTCGGGTTCAGATCCTCCCAATCACCTCTCTCCAAGTGTCACTGGAGAGGTGCTCCCAGGATCATTTGAATACTCAAACTCCCCCACCACGTTAAGGTGGCAGTCCAGGGGAAACAGTAATAAAATGTCATAAAAACGTGTAGTGTACCTTTAAAACAAAAGTCAAAAGATTTCTGGGGGTACTAGTCATTCTACAAATTGAACACACATTTTGTTCCATAATGAGAAACTCACCCATATATACACTACTACTACTAATGTGTTACTAACCCATTTGGTCAGAGAAAGTCTGTGATACATGTTCTCCTGATATCTGTGTGACTGCCTTGTGCATAACTAAATAAATCTGATTATGGGACTGGTACAAACTGTCTTAACAAAAGAACTGTGTGTGTGTGTTTTTTTTGACATGTGTTTCACTAACAAACCACCAGTGGACTCTGCAACTGTTCGAAGAAGACACATAAATGAAAATACGAGTGAACTATTTATGGGAATGATAAACTTTGAAAATGCATCGTATTCTACTGTAGATGAACTGTTTAACTCTGTCACCTCTAGTGTTTTGAATGTTCTGGATACCGTTGCCCCTGTGAAGGTTAAAATAGTGAAAAATAAGCAGAAGGCGCCGTGGACTAAAGCAGACTCGGTCAGAGCACTGAAGAGAAAGTGCCGGAGGGTCAAGCGGAAGTGGCGCAAGTCCAACCTCCAGGTTGATTACAAGATATTCAAGGATAAGTTGTGCGAGTTTAACTGGGTGCTACGTAGTACGAGAGAAAGGTATTTTTCTGAAATGATTGAAGGCTGCAGTAACAATCTGCGTGTTCTGTTTTCAACAGTTAATAGATTAACAAACCCCCCTGTTCAAATGCCATTAGAGCTAACTTCCAAACGTAAATGCAATGAGTTTGCACACTTTTTCAATGACAAGGTTCGAGGCATCAAAAACGCCATTGTCTCCAATCCACAGATAACCATCCAACAGCCAGAAAGGCTCTCTCGAGCTAACTCACTTTGCACCTGTAGATGATAAAAATGTCCAAGAAATAATCTCCAGTCTGAGCTCCTCCACATGCAGCCTGGATGTACTACCCACTAAATTTCTGAAGTCTGTTCTGGGCAGTCTGTTACCTTCACTCACACAGATAGTAAACATGTCCCTTCATTCTGGAATATTCCCAAAGGCCCTGAAAACGGCAGTCATCAGGCCCCTGCTAAAAAAGAGCAGCCTGGATGCTACGGGGAAAGTCCTTGAAAAAGTTGTCTACCTACAGCTCACTAGATTTCTTATAATTAACAACTCATTTGATATGTTTCAGTCCGGCTCAAAAACATAGTGTCTAAAGCAGACTTGGAGATTCTTATCCATGCATTTGTCTCCAGTAGGTTAGACTACTGCAATGGCCTGCTCACAGGTCTGTCCAAACAGGCTGTAAAACAGCTGCAGTACATTCAAAATGCAGCAGCTCGAGTCCTGACTAGAACCAGGAAGTACGACCACATTAGTCCGGTCCTCAGGTCCCTGCACTGGCTTCCTGTGGCTCAGAGAATAGACTTTAAAACAGCTCTGCTTGTGTACAAGTCTCTCCATGGCCTCGCACCAAAATATATTAGTGACATGTTAGTCCCATATGAACCAGCCCGGACTCTGAGGAGCACAGGGACTGGACTCCTGTTAGTGCCCAGAGTCAGAACTAAACATGGGGAGGCTGCTTTTCAGATTCATGCTGCTAAAATCTGGAACAGTCTTCCTGAAGATGTGAGACAGGCCTCCTCTCTGACAATGTTTAAAACCAGGTTAAAGACGGTTCTGTTTAGCTGTGCATACAACTGAGGGATTTTATATTTTTATATATATATATATATTTTTAATGTACTTTGATTATTTATGATTTTAATGCTTTCTTGTTCTGTTCAGCACTTTGAATTGCCTTGTGTATGAATTGTGCTATACAAATAAACTTGCCTTGCCTTGCCTTGTGTGTGTGTGTGTGTGTGCACGTATCTCTGTGTGTGGTTATCTCTGCATGTGTGTCTTTGTGTGTGCGTCTCTCTGTGTCTCTATTCATTAAGCATCTTCATCTGACAGAAAGCTGTCTTGAACGGAATGATGGGAAATACTTTCAGTCTCTAGAGTGTAGAGTCAGACCAAACTATTACCTCATGTGTGACCTTTGACCTCAGAAGCGGACTGTCGATTGTTAATGATTGAGGTTATACAGTGACCGTGGCCCTGCCCCCGACAACAAGCCTTTCCCCCTCAGGATAAAGCCTTGCGCTCTCCTCCAGCGCGCAAACATGGGCGCGTGGTGGACACTCCTCGGGCACCCTCTTTGGGCCGCGTGCACGCTTGTGCTCGTGCTCGTGGTGCGCGCACAGAAGAGGACTCGCTGGGACCCACGCGCGTGCCCGGTCAAGTTGCACGGGAAAACGGCGATCGTGACCGGTGCCAACACAGGTGCGTGCGCGCGACTCACACATGCATGCGCATCAGCTGTCGTTGTCATTACAACCGCTTTAATAATAACAAGAATTTAATCATATTTTGTCAGCAGCGGGACGGTTTTCATTAAGGTGGGGCATATGACTTCAAGACTATGGGACATTAAAGCTGGGGTATGTGCCTTTAAAGCTGATGTATGTCACACATGTTTCAAACCACAAACTACCACCCTTAAACCGTTAGGGTTAGGGCCAGAGTCCTGAACCCCAAGTCCTGAGTCCTAGGTCTTAGTTCCTGGGTCCTTAGTCCATGCGCTTTGAGTCCTCGGTTCTTGGTGGTGAGACTGAACGCTATTTTCAATTCAGTCTGTTTTCAGTAAGCGTTGCTTCACATCTGTTCCTCATCTAGAACACATCTCTCTGAGTCAGTGATAAGGAACGTACTTTGTTGATCGTGGAGCTCCAACCTTCACTGCCTTAGACCATCCCAAACACTGCCCCAGACCTCATGCCCTGTTTAACACTGCCCCCAGACCTGCTCTAACACAAGAATGCAGCTCTGCAGCGTCTCTGTGTCCAGAAATCTTCGATAGATAACAGCAGTATGTGTTCACGGACCTGCTCCACAAGTTTAAACAGTACTTCCGCATCAGCAAACACGTTAGCAGCACTTCTTTACGGTCACAGGAGAATAAGAACTCAGGCTGGAGACAAATGTTCACAAGCACTGTGTGGCCCATTGTCAATACTGGTGAAGTCCTGTTTTAGTCCTGGTTTAGCTCCTGTTTTGGCTGTATCTTCAGTCTGCTCTCTCAGACCGCTTGTGACCCCTTGACCACTGCGACTCTCTGGTTGGTCACTGCACGTGTGGCGGGGCAGAAAGAATTCAGCAATGTTCGTCTCCTGCCTGCGTTGAGTTGCTGCAACGCTGCCTCTGCTGTGCAGTCCGTGCGTGCGACACACATGTAGTTCCAGTTCTTGAATGGACGTCACTATTGACTATGCATTGGAAGTCAACGCAACGCATGCTCTGGTCTGAACGCCCCATAACACTGCCCCAGACCTGCCCTAGCACTGCCCCAGACCTGCCCTAACACTGCCCCAGACCTGCCCTAACACTTCCCCAGCCCTGCCCTAACACTGCCTTTGACATGCCCTAGCACTGCCCCAGACCTGCCCTAACACTGCCCCAGACCTGCTCTAACACTGCCCCAGACCTGCCCTAACACTGCCCCAGACCTGCTCTAACACTGCCCCAGACCTGCCCTAACACTGCCCCAGACCTGCTCTAACACTGCCCCAGACCTGCTCTAACACTGCCCCAGACCTGCTCTAACACTGCCCCAGACCTGCTCTAACACTGCCCCAGACCTGCCCTAACACTGCCCCAGACCTGCCCTAACACTGCCCCAGACCTGCTCTAACACTGCCCCAGACCTGCTCTAACACTGCCCCAGACCTGCTCTAACACTGCCCCAGACCTGCTCTAACACTGCCCCAGACCTGCTCTAACACTGCCCCAGACCTGCCCTAACACTGCCCCAGACCTGCCCTAACACTGCCCCAGACCTGCCCTAACACTGCCCCAGACCTGCCCTAACACTGCCCCAGACCTGCTCTAACACTGCCCCAGACCTGCTCTAACACTGCCCCAGACCTGCTCTAACACTGCCCCAGACCTGCCCTAACACTGCCCCAGACCTGCCCTAACACTGCCCCAGACCTGCTCTAACACTGCCCCAGACCTGCCCTAACACTGCCCCAGACCTGCCCTAACACTGCCCCAGACCTGCCCTAACACTGCCTGATAGACCTGCCCTTACACTGCCTTCTAACACTGCCCCAGACCTGCCCTAACACAGCCCCAAACCAGCCCTCAGACCTGTGCAGTAGTGACAGCTGGGAAGGGGGATAATAAACATACAGGTCCTTGTTAAACTCTCCTAACCCTAACCCTGGTTTTCAGGTATTGGATACTGTGTGGCGCTGGACTTAGCTCGCCGTGGGGCCAGGGTTATCCTCGCCTGCCGGTGTCCGATCAAAGGCACCGCGGCTCGAGACCAGATCCGGTCTTTGAGTGGGAATCCTCAGGTGGATCTACGAATCCTGAACCTTAGCTCCATGGCCTCAGTCCGAGACTTTGTCCAGAAGATCAAAGAGGAAGAGAAAGAGCTCCACCTGCTGGTGAACAATGCAGGGGTCTCAGGTGACTGTGTTTGTAACCCCACACACCACAAACAAAAGTATTCAGACCCCACACACCACAAACAAAAGTATTCATACCCCACACACCACAAACAAAAGTATTCATACCCCACACACCACAAACAAAAGTATTCATACCCCACGCTACACAAACAAAAGTATTCATACCCCACGCTTCACAAACAAAAGTATTTATTCCCTACACACCACAAACTAAAGTTTTCATACCCTACACCACAGACAAAAGTATTCATACCCCACATCCCACAAACAAAAGTATTCATACCCCACACACCACAAACAAAAGTGTTCATACCCCACACACCACAAACAAAAGTATTCATACGTAGAGGAAAAAAAAAATGAAAATTGTGTCAGGGTTAGGGTCAGGAGGGTTTAGGGTCACGGTTGACCTTTGCCAAGATCAGTCCAACTTCTCCCACAGACAAGCTCCAGATATTCTCTCTGTCTGACCAGCTGACGACCCAAACCCGAGCCTCACATGTTGTAGCTGAGGATTGTTGTTGGGTTAAAACCCTGGTTCTAGTCCCACAGGTCACTGACCTCAGAGCAGTAATAGTTCAACCATTGATGTGAACTTTGTCCTCATCTTTCATCTGCTGATCCAGGACCAGTGTGAGTCTGACCAGAGCAGTTTGAGTTTGAGAGCAGAGGGTGAGGACAGAAGGGTAGGGGGGACTTTTAGAATGCCTCTGTTAAAGATCTCATCATGAATGAGACAGAAACTCTTTGTTTCTCAAGCTCAGACTCAGTTACACCATCCCCAGGGTCAGGAGGGGCAGCATCATGTTGTGGGGCTGCTGCTGATCATGACTGATACATACACTGCTGCATTATGCTGTGGGGTTGCTTTTCTTCAACAGGGACAGGGAAAATATCTCGATCAGAATGCATTTTATTGGGAAGACATGAGGTCCCTAACCCTATCCCTGATCCTGATCCTGATCCTGACCCTGTGTCTCTGTTTCTTTCAGGTTTGCCAAAACAGTTCACAGCTGACGGCTTTGACACAACGTTTGCCACAAATCACCTGGGACCATTTCTCCTAACGCACCTCCTGCTGAGTGAGAGCAGCAATACAGTGCCTTGCGAAAGTATTCGGCCCTCTTGAACCTTTCAACATTTCGCCACATTTCAGGCTTCAAACATAAAGATATAAAAAACATATTTTTTGTCATGAATCAACAACAAGTGGGACACAATCATGAAGTGGAACTAAATTTATTGGATAATTTAAACTTTTTTAACAAATAAAAAACTGAAAAGTGGGGCGTGCAATATTATTCGGCCCCTTTACTTTCAGTGCAGCAAACTCACTCCAGAGGTTCAGTGAGGATCTTTGAATGATCCAATGTTGTCCTAAATGACTGATGATGATAAATAGAATGCACCTGTGTGTAATCAAGTCTAGATACGAATCCTCAATCGTGTGTTCGGGTTAATGGATGTTGCTCGGATTACTTCTATTTGGAGAGAGGGGTCCGTCAGGGTGACTGTCTCAGCCCCCTGCTATTTGCAATTAATATTGAACCCCTCGCTGCACTAATCAGGAATAATAATGATATTAAAGACATTGAAGACAAAAATCAAAAGGAACACAAAGTCTCGCTTTTTGCAGACGATATTTTAACATTTATTAGTGACCCAGCAGCGTCCATTCCAGCACTCATGGAGTCTTTACAGGAATATGGCAAGTTTTCTGGTTACCAAATAAATCAATCAAAATCAGAAGCTATGATGTTAAAGGGGCAGTGGCCTACAAATCTGACAAGTAGGTTTGCATTTCGGTTGAGTAATCAAGGATTCAGATATCTGGGAATCATGATCACTCCACAAATTGCACAATTGTTTAAACCAAACTATGGGAAATTGATGGATGATCTCAAAAGAATAAATGCACCTGCTCTTTGATAGTCCCAGGGTTCTGTTTAAAGCGCAGACATAACCATGAAGACAAAGGACCACACCAGGCAGGTCCGAGATACTGTTGTGGAGAAGTTTAAAGCCGGATTTGGATACAAAAAGATTTCCCAAGCTTTAAACATCCCAAGGAGCACTGTGCAAGCAATTATATTGAAATGGAAGGAGTATCAGACCACTGCAAATCTACCAAGACCCGGCCGTCCCTCCAAACTTTCATCTCAAACCAGGAGAAGACTGATCAGAGATGCAGCCAAGAGGCCCATGATCACTCTGGATGAACTGCAGATAACTACAGCTGAGGTGGGAGAGTCTATCCATAGGACAGACAATCAGTCGTGCACTGCACAAATCTGGCCTTTATGGAAGAGTGGCAAGAAGAAAGCCATTTCTCAAAGATATCCATAAAAAGTCTCGTTTAAAGTTTGCCACAAGCCACCTGGGAGACACACCAAACATGTGGAAGAAGGTGCTCTGGTCAGATGAAACCAAAACCAAAACCAACTTTTTGGCCACAATACAAAACGATATGTTTGGTGTAAAAGCAACACAGCTCATCACCCTGAACACACCATCCCCACTGTCAAACATGGTGGTGGCAGCATCATGGTTTGGGCCTGCTTTTCTTCAGCAGGGACAGGGAAGTGGCTAAAATTGATTGGAAGATGGATGGAGCCAAATACAGGACCATTCTGGAAGAAAACCTGTTGGAGTCTGCAAAAGACCTGAGACTGGGACAGAGATTTATCTTCCAACAGGACAATGATCCAAAACATAAAGCCAAATCTACAATGGAATGGTTCACAAATAGACGTATCCAGGTGTTAGAATGGCCAAGTCAAAGTCCAGACCTGAATCCAATCGAGAATCTGTGGAAAGAGCTGAAGACTGCTGTTCACAAACGCTCTCCATCCAACCTCACTGAGCTCGAGCTGTTTTGCAAGGAAGAATGTCCAGAATTCCAGTCTCTCGATGTGCAAAACTGATAGAGACATACCCCAAGCGACTTGCAGCTGTAATTGCAGCAAAAGGTGGCGCTACAAAGTATTAGCGCAAGGGGGCCGAATTTGCACACCCCACTTTTCAGTTTATTTGTTAAAAAAGTTTAAATTATCCAATACATTTCGTTCCACTTCACGATTGTGTCCCACTTGTTGATTCTTGACAACATTTTTAATTTTTATATCTTTATGTTTGAAGCCTAAAATGTGGCGAAATGTTGAAAGGTTCAAGGGGGCCGAATACTTTCGCAAGGAACTGTAGCAGCAGTAGCAGCAGCTGTAGCAGTTGCAGTAACTGCAGCAGTAGCAGTAACAGCAACTGCAACTGCAGCAGTAGCAGTAACAGCAACTGCAACTGCAGCAGTAGCAGTAACTGTAGAAGTAGCAGTAGCAGTAGCAGCAGCAGTAGCGGCAGCAAGAGTTCCTATCTCATGATTCCTGGTGTCTCCTCAGATCTCCTCAAGGCCTCGTCTCCGTCTCGAATTGTCATTGTGTCCTCGTCCAATCACAGCAAAGGAAAAGTGGACTTCAGGCACTTCACGGGCGAGCAGCTGGTCCACAGATCTGACCTGGTCTACAACCATACCAAGCTGCACAACATCCTATGGAGCAACGAGCTGTCGGTCAGACTGCAGGGCTCAGGTCTGTCACACAGTCTGTGTCACATGGTTTATGTCACATGGTCTGTGTTACATGGTCTGTGTCACAAGATCCCTAACCCTTGCTAGTACTCAGTCTAACAGTTCCTGTTCTCAGTACTTGTATTCAGAACTTGTACTCAGTATCACTTAGTTAGTACCTGTACTCATTATCTGTACTCAGTACTCACCTGTAAACCGTACCTGTACTCAGTAGTTGTACTCTTACTGTCTTCAGGAGTAACTGTGAACTGTCTTCATCCTGGGATCGTCGTCACTGACGTCCTGAGACATTATCCACTCCGTCTCAGAGTCATCTTCAACCTCCTCGGATTCTTCTTCTTCAAGGTGATCTATACATGACCTCTGATGTGACCTTTGACCTCTAGGTTTTAGCCACTTTTACTTCTGTCCATTGTTTTTATTGTTTTTGTATATGTTGTTGTTATGAAACCAGAGAACAGATCTGCAGTTGTGTTTAGCTCTATCCCTGTTTCACGGACCTGCAGCTGTGTTTAGCTCTATCCCTGTTTCACGGACCTGCAGCTGTGTTTAGCTCTATCCCTGTTTCACGGACCTCTAGCTCTATCCCTGTTTAACGGACCTGCAGCTGTGTTTAGCTCTATCCCTGTTTAACGAACCTGCAGCTGTGTTTAGCTCATGGATCTATAATAATAACTGGATAGGGTATTACTAGCTTCTATCTGTCCCACCCATGGGCACAGGGGGCGCCCGTGGTACTGCAGACTAAATTCCCGTGGACTACCCAGAAAAAAGTCCCATAGAACTCAATGTAAACTAAACCAGCTTGATCTCAGCTGACAGAGAACCTACAGCTTTCACTGGTTGTATTTTGTGGGGTATTTTTTGCCGCTTTTCCACAGTCACGGTACGGTACGGCTCGGTACGGCTCGGCACGACGCGGTTGAGTGTGGATGTTTTTCCATTAAAAATGGTACCTCCAAGTTTCTCCTCAGCGTGGGAGGGGTTATCAGACCACGTAATATATGCGCAACGCCGCGCGTAACTAGTAACATTGGTCTGATGCGTCACTTTTTGTCATTTGAAATAAAATGTTTTATTTCGAGTTCAATACATTACTTAGTTATTTAAAATACATGTCTATTGTAAGTATCAACTCGAAAAAGGTTTGAGAATTAAAAAAGGAATATATGATAAAAAAACAGTTATTTCCAGTGCCGGGGCGTGCATTTCAGACCTGCCTCCTGTGTTAAAATGGCAGGAGGCACATCGCCGTAGTTTGTATACTAGGGTGACCAAATTTTAAAATAAAAAACTGGGACATTTTAATATAACTAAAAATCACATTTGCGACAAAACTAAGCAAAAATGTATTGCAGTCAAATGAGGTGATACAGCTTATAAACATTTACTTGTGCCTCCTGAAGAATTAAATTGCTTTTTGAAAACAAAAACTGGTTGGCTTAAATAAACTGTGGCTGCCAAAAATAAATAAATAAGTAAAACATATTACCTGGTTAGGACCTATTTTGAGCATGTATTGATATGACGGGGATGAGGTCACGTGCGCTATACATAGTTTTCCATCACGTGCTTATTACCCATGATGCTTTGCGCGAACGCCATGTTGTCAGTCTGGTATCTAAAGCACGTATCATTTGTCATGGATAATTTTTCACCGATCATTTGTACCCATGTCATCTAAAGCCAAGAATTCGGCCGACACTGACCGGGTTAAGTATATTGATACACTGGAGTAATCTGAGAGGCAAGATCCTTGGAGAAATTAAAAGTGATCTGAGATTTGGATCCATATGAAACGCGGCGAGACCAGTGGACTTCGCCAGAAATGGCTTACTTTCACTTAACAGTTTTACAATTAATAAAAGGTCATGATGTATATGATGAAATATTTCTTTCAATTAATAATTTATTTTGAACGAAGCACTTGATATCACAGGCCGTAAATCACTTCTGTCTACCACCCTTCCTCCTCCCCCTCTCATTTATTTAGATGGGCGCCTATATAGACTTAGTATCAGAGTCAAATCGCAGCTCTGAATACAAACCTCACATGCACAGATTTAGCTAGCTCTTACCTGTTATTACAATTTTTCAGGGGGTTAGGGTTGAATCCTTCTCGGTTGATCCTCGCCAACTAAAGGGTCTTTTCTCCGTCCTGAGTCTCTCTCCTGGCTCAGAATAGCCTTTGGAATGTCCCAACAATCTGCGCGGTTACTGCACCCCCAAACAATGCAGGTAGTCGGCATGTTTTAGCGCAAAAAAGTGATTTGAGCGCTTTGTTTACCTATAACTAGCGGCGGCTAGACTTGTAAAATGGCAAACTGCGGAATTGTGGCTAGTGGAGTTTTCCACACGCGTATTCTCCCCCCTCTCCATCTGCCCCCCTTCCAGCCCCAACCTCTTCACACGTCTCCAGCCCAGTGGACACTGCCTTCGGCTGCCCCGGGCCCTCCTGCCCCCACCTCTGACAGTACACCCTGGTCTCCCCCCCTCTCCATCAAACAGGACCAGGTGAGGAGTCAGCTAAAGCGACTGAAGCTGAGGAAATCCGCAGGACCGGACGTGATCAGTCCCAGGCTGCTGAGGACCTGTGCAGACCAGCTCTCTGAGGTCCTCAGCTACATGTACAACCTGAGCCTCAGCCTGGAGAAGGTCCCTGTCCTGTGGAAGACCTCCTGTGTGATCCCGGTTCCTAAAATAGCGCACGCCAAGGAACCGGCTCACTACAGACCAGTCGCACTCACCTCCCACCTGATGAAGACCATGGAGCGGCTCATCCTCACCCATCTCCGCTCCGTGGTCAGCCCCACCCTGGACCCGCTGCAGTTCGCCAACAGGCCCAACATCGGAGTAGAGGACGTCGTCATCTACTTACTGCAGCGGACGCTACCACCTGGAGCACGCCGAGAGCGCTGTGAGGGTCATGTTTTTTGACTTCTCCAGCGCTTCCAACACCATCAGACCGGCACTGCTGCAGGGGAAGATGGAGGATGTGGGAGTAGACAGTCACCTCACTGCATGGACCATCGACTACCTCTCAGACCGACCACAGTACGTGCGGCTGCGCAGCTGTGAGTCTGAGGTGGTAGTCTGCAGCACTGGGGCCCCTCAGGGCACTGTCCTCTCACCGTTTCTTTCTACACTTCAGACTTCACATACGACATACACAGCTGTCACCTGCAGAAGTTCTCCCACGACTGGGCTGTATGTCTTGTGTTTGAATATATTTATTGATTTTTCACATTACAAATTAATAAACAAAAACAAAAGAAAACCCGATACCCCCCACCCACCGGAATGTCACCAATTCACATATACCACACAAACCACACAGATTCATTGTACTCGAATAAAGTTAAATGCCAGTCTATCAAAAGACCTGGAAGTCAGACAGAAGAAACATACAACAACAAAAAACAAACATCTAGAGTAGACCTGAGTTGTTGGCCTTTCAAAGAATGTTGTAAAGGATTTCCATATATTAACAAACTTTCTCTCAAAACCACGAATTGTATATCTGATTTTTTCCAGTCTGAGATTAGAAATGACGTCCCTAATCCAATGTGTCACAGAAGGCGACATAGGATCCTTCCACTTTAAAAGAATGAGGGAGCGAGCCTATAGAGTACTAAAAGCAACCACCTCAGCTGGGAGTTGAAGCCCATTAGGTATGATTCCAAATAGGGCTATTAAAGGGTCTGGAGTAATTTGAACCCCTAAAACTGTAGACAAAGCCTCAAAAATACCTCTCCAATATACCTCGAGGTTAACACAAGACCAAAACATATGGAGCAGTGTAGCCTCACTAATCTTGCATCTATCACAAAAAGGATCTGTTTGAGGAAACATTTTTGCCAGATTAGATTTAGACAAATGCACACGATGCACAATCTTAAATTGAATCAGGGAGTGACAGGCACACATTGTGGAAGAATTAACTTAAATCATCATTTATAGTCGTCTGGAGGTCTTCCCCCCCATAACTGCTGAATTTTAGAAGATGATATGCACAAAATGTTAATAATTGATGAAATTGCTCCTTTCTTCTTCAGTGAACAGGTAAAAAATATTTTCGAGAAGACTATTTGGTGGCTTATGTGGGAAAGTTGAAATTGCATCTTTAACATAATACCTAATTGTAGATATCTAAATAAATTAGACGGTGGAAGACCAAATTTCAGAGTTAATTTCTCAAATGATGCAAATTCCCCCTGAAAAAAAAAGTCACCTATACATTTAAGTCCCTTATCATTCAAAATTATAAATGTGTTATCTTGCATTGAAGGCTGGAAAAAAGGTTTTTTTAAAATAGGGCTAAAAAGACAGACTTTTGACAAATTATGATGCCTCCTAAATTGACCATATATTTTTAAAGAATTAATGACCACAGGATTCCCCCCAGGTACACTAGACCACTGCATAGGCAAAGATGAAGATAGAAAAGCCGACAGAGACACCAAGTCACACAAGCGTCTTTCCATAATCAGCCGTACAGGACTCTCTTCATCAGAGATGCAGTGTACCCAGAGGGATAAACAATATACATTTGCAGCCCAATAGTACAATTTAAAATTTGGAAGAGCCATACCCCCATCCCTTTTTGGTTTCCGTATGAACTCTATCCGTAAACGAGGCTGCTTCCTATTCCAAATGAACCATGTTATAACTGCATCGAGTTTTTATAAAAAACTCCCCTAAATAAATATAGGCAGACACTGAAATAAATATAAATACTTTGGAAGAACCATCATACCAATTGTATTAACCCGAGCAATTAAAGAAATAAGAAGGGAAGACCACAATGTCAAATCCTGTTTGGTTTGCTGTAAAAGCTTCCCCAAATTTTGTTCCAACAAGTCAGAAAAAGCCTTGGTTACTGTAATGCCAAGATAGGTAAAGTTATCTTTCGCTACTTTAAAAGGAACTGTTATACGTCCCAATGCTGACTCTGACATATTGAGTGGCATCATTTCACTCTTCTGTAAATTCAACTTATAACCAGATACTTATCCAAAATGATGAAGTAATTTAATAATTTGGGGAATTGTAGATTCCGCTTCAGATACAAAGAGTAAGAGATCATCGAATGTTGAAAAATAATGGTCTTCCTTTAACAAAGCCTGTTTGATCTGAGGAGATAATATTGGGGAGAACGCTTTCAAAACGGAGGGATAAAATCTTGGTCAAAATTGTATAATCCGAATTAAGCAGAGAAATTGGTCTATAAGATCCAAAATCCAGTGGGTCTTTATCCTTCTTTAACAAAAGTGTAATACAGGCCTGATTAAAAGAAGGAGGAAGATGACCAGAGGCCAAAGTCTCCGCATATACTTTAGTCAAAA